CAAAACAATTTGTTCTGGAAATGTCCTGGAATTTCATCTCACTTAAGGTGTACGAACCCTGATAGTTAAAAGTTTTATTCAAATGACCAAGTCTGTATACAGAGAGTTAATGAGTGAGTATTCCAGAGTTTAAACTTCTAAATCATTTTATTCCTCATTGCAAGAATCCAAAGCTTCAAATTTATTAGAAACTGCTATCTGAATGCTAACAAAACCTTTTTTTCTACCCCTGTGCACCCTTGTAAACCCAACACTTGCTTTCCCCTACCTGAAATCAACCTTTACTTTAACTCTATCCATTTTTTGTCTTAATTTCTTCTTTTTAATCTGTTATCTTTCCCCTTTCTGATAGTGCAATTTAAAAATAAAATAAAAATTTATAAAATATATATAACTGAACTTCTTACTTTATAGAGAAACTATAACTACTACTATCTAAAACTATAGGATTAAAGTTTTCCAGTCAAATATAAGGTTACTAAAATATAATGAATTAAATGATACTAAATTTACCACTCCTGAGAGTTATCTTGCAATAAAAATTTGCAAAAGTTATATCAAAGTTTGATACATTTAATTCAAATATTTCAAAACAAAAAACTTGTGAATGTAATAAAATCGTTTTTCAAATCAAAATTACCTGCAAGATCACCCTTGTAAATAAAGCATGACATTTGATACACAATGAAGTTATGGAATGACATAACCTACTATTATTGTCATCTCAGGGTTCTTAAAAAACGCTCCATGTCATTGATATTGTAATATTTTTATGCTGGTTTTTAATTTAATCATCTTGCTATTTTTTAAAAGTTGTGAACAAATGTACTGTTCAATGTTTTTCGGCATTATACATATTGTTGAGTAGGAGGTCTCATTTTTCAGTAGTCTACCTGTTCTTGAGAATGTATGGATGTGTTTTTAAATATTTCGATTAGCTCTGTGTTTTTTAGTAGTTATATGTTTATGAGTTGATCACCAAATAATAAAGTATTATGTGTGGGAAAAGTTTGATGTTCTTGAAGAGTTTGTTAATAATTATGAAATATTGTGTTTTGAGCTTGGTATATATTCATAAAAATTTAAGGAATTCACCCAGTTCTTGATTTTTTTGCTACTCCTGCCTTACCAGTCATGTATATAACAGCTTTATTGCATGCTCAGTCCTGTATTGTATCTATTTATTGTATTACTCGTGTACAAGCTAAATAAAGCACATATCAGGACATTATTTGGTATGTGTGTATGTGTAATAGGATTAAACATGGCAATACACAACATTATATTTTTAAAAAAATGCCTGCCTTTTTGTTTTAAGAATTCACTAAAGTCAGTCCTTCACATTTGAAAAAGGCATGAAGGCTGTAAACAGCCCCAACCAGATAGTCCATGGGGGCTGTTAGTGGGCTAATGCTGTATCTTGATTCTTTGTTTATAAAATTGGAATATTTAATTGTCACAGTTAATTTGTATTTACTGAATTGTACTGATTTTCTATCAATATCAATAGGACAGAGTTTTGCTGCCTAAACTGGGATATATTCACATTGTGCTACTGAATTATGATGACCTCCAATCAACATGGCAGCCTTTGCAGTCTCATTTCATGCAAAAAATAGTTCATCATATGCAATTCAGGTCACAATCAAATTGTTAAAATGTTCTTGCTAGTCTTAATTTGCTGATGATTTATTTCCAGTTTTGTAATTTAAACTGTAAAACATGGACTTAATTTCTCAGTGACAAATATTAAATGTCCATATACAACAGTGTAGTTTGAAAATCTCATATTACTACACAATAACATTGCTACTCTAGGCCAATTGAAAGTAAAGTATCAGAGCTATAGCAGTCAACATGTTCACACAAAGTCATCTGGCAGTTTGTCTGTGTATACAAACAACAGCTGATTGTATGATCAGTGTCATGACAACTAATAACTGGATCTGAATTCAAGAGTATTTATATTTTGGTAGGAATAAAAGGACCATTAGTTGACCCAAAATTGTGGGAATCCTAACTGACTTGATGGTGGCTCTAACAAGCCCTCATAAAACTGATTTTATGGCACTTTCAAGCATCAGTGTGATGGTGCCAATCAAATATTAAGAACTGTAAAATGCATTCTCTTATATATACCTCAGTTAATTTTGCACGAAAACATTGCTTAAAAATATGTTTAAAACATTTTTGGCTTTCCTCAGTTTCTGTGAATAAAATGTTTAAACAAGAACAAACTAACTTTTTTCTATATAAGAATGATATTCTGAAGCAAACAGTTTATTTGGTTGGTATTTCTGCTCTAAAACACACACACACACACTACAGTGTATGTTTTTTGGATAAGAAGGACCCAGAATGAGTTTATCCATATGTTTTGACTATTTGCAATATATATATATCCTTTATATAGCTTAACCCATTGACTGCTTATTCACCTTCGACAGTTGAATCTGAGTGTGCCATGTATTGTGTGTGGCTTGCAAAAGTTCCATGCATGTTCAGAGCAGCTACAGTCAATGGGCTGATAAAGCTCACTAAAAGGAAGGATGCTGATAACATCTCTTAGTATGTGAGTTTCATATTTTGAGTTCTGTCTTATGAGTTTTTTAGTTGGAAGGGGAGGCTCCAAAGTGTGGTTGTTCCAGTCATTGATATTTTAATATAAAAATGGCCTAATCTAGGATTTGAGTTTGGATGTTGGTGATGTCATCATGAGGAGGATTGTGGTAAATTTCTTCTAAGAGTAAGTGACTCCTATAAATAATTATACCTATAAAAAAATCTGAGATCCAGTAATCCAAATGGATTCAGTCATCAAAATATGTGCATTGTGTTTTATTTTTCCAACAAAACATGGTCCCCCCCCTGATTGGACAGTGATACGTTTATGGACTTACAATACTAAAATCTGGGGTTTGATTCGCTGCAGTGGATGCAGCAGATAGATCAATTTGGTTTTGCTTTAAAACAAACGAAAACATGATGTGTCTTGTAAAATTAAGAGATCAAAATTCATTTTAAATTTAGAGTAAAACAAATGCTAACATATCACTCTTGTGGCTTTAAGGACCAAGTGCTAGCCATTATTTGAAGTTATCTTAAAGGTTATTTTCTAATTTTATAGACAGTTCTCAGCCTTTAAAATTCTAAGCATTATGTGACTGTAAGGAACAAGTTCTAAACCTAATAAACAGTTGTTAACAACGATATATATATATATATTTTTCAGCGAAATGTAGATACAAGAAAGTTATGTTAAAGCACAGTAAAACCTAATTAAAGTACATTCAGAACTACTTAACAGTTTTATTCTAAATCGTTTGATATAGTATGGCAATTTAAAAATAGGTAAGTAGTCTATTTTGTTAATCTTTGTAACACATTTATACTGTGCTGTAAAGTTAGTTACTAATATGTGGAATGATTGTATTGTTTTATATATATTGTAAAATATGATGTTAAATTTTATCTCATACTTAGTATTATGTTCTCTCCACATGTATAGCAAGTGTTATGTCAAGTACAACCTGCTTCATTGGTTCATATTGAAATTTGAATTACTTACATTAAGGATAAATTTAGAGCATTAAGTCTATTTTACTATTATTTGAAGAATGTTTTCAATGAAATAGGTTTTTATGAGTAACATCTTAGAACAAGCAAGCCAGAAATTTCATTTGGAAGAAAATATACCTTGATATTAACAATTAGCAAAAATTGAGTGTAATTGCTTGTAAATCCTAGATGTATTATTATATGATAAAAAATAAAAGGAAAGGTATGAAAAGATAAGAAAATCTTGCTTAGTTAAGCATATTGCCATGAGGTTTTTCATATAACCTGTGCCTACCTTTACCGTAGTTTGATGTTTCCTCATTTTATCTTTTGTTAATTGAAAATAAACTACACGTAAATGCTCTCATTCTTTTTTTTTTATATGTATATCATTTTTCTAATGCATTACAGTTTAAATATTAGCATTTTTCTATAAGGAGAAAGTAACATTTTTTTGAAGGTACAGTGTTCAGTTATGTATGTGTATATGTTTAACTTTCTCTCTTTGTTTTTTAATTATGGTTAATTTTTTTCTAGTCTTATTGCCCTTGGCCTTGAACAGTTTTTGCCTCTGACAGAGTACCCTAATATGCATGCCAAGCTGATCCAAATACACATGCTTCCAACAAAAAATGAGCAACAAATTCGTATTAGAATTAAAAATGCTAAAGGATCTAACACAACAGATGAAAATCCCATCAAAGTAAGAACATTTTGTATATTGTTTTGATATCTTAAGTCAAATTTTATGCTTATTGTAATTTATATGTATTATTTTATTATAGCACAATAAACTGTTACTTATATATTTCATAAACATTGAATATTATCAGATATTCCATAGTGTACATTTCCTTAACAAAATGTAAAAGTGAAACTGTTTTATTACATGTAATAACTAATTTATATAGGTAATCTTTTCACAAACCATTTTAATAATAAAGCTGACATTTTGACTTTTAATACCCATAAAAACTTTGATTAATTTATTGTACATAGAGTATTCAGGTACTCTACTCTATATATTGTTTGACACCTTTCCTAATACATTCATTTATACAATGAAGTTTTGGTAATAATGAAAAAAATAAAACTTATACCTTTATTTCTTGAACATTTTAAAGCATAAATAGCTTTTAACTAAACATTATGTAACCCCTAAAACACTTCTAGGAATGAATTTTCTTTTATGTTACAACATGTTACTAGGCTGCATAACTTTTGTTGTAATTTTATGTACAAGGCTTTTAGTATTTATTTAAATCTATAAAAAAAAACAATTTTGATAACAAAACGGATTTGCAATAAAGTTTTTAGTACAAGTCTATTGCTAAGTATATATTGGTGTAATTGTGTAGTGATGAAGACATGGTATTCTCAATTACACTGATTTCTAATGTATAAGAATAGTAACTGCTTTAACCCTATAATTACGGGCACACTTATACTGCGCATGTCATGAGATTTTACTTTGTTGTTATATTCAAAATTTTAATTAGACAATCTTACTATCCATGTATAGCAATGAAACTAACATTAAAATTTACATTATAGTTCAAAGTTTTAACTACTTTATTTCAAAAGAAGCCTAAAAGAAAAATTCTTAAACTTCAGTTCGATGCACAATTTCACAAAGTTTTAACTTTTAGATTTTGTAAGTTGAATATCTATATATATAGAAAGAATTTAGGTTAATTGCACTGTTTACACATTCTTTTTTTTCAAGCTCCTTAGGGGGCATTGGGAAGAAGGATAGATATATTTCTTGGGACTCTTGACAGTTGCCACAGCAGCTTTCAAAGCACAGAGTTGCGATTTATCAGCTAATTATATTTAATTGAGGTAGATGTTTGTAACCAATAGAAAGACCACATTTTGAAATACTATCTCCCAACAGTTAGTTTAAAATTGGCATGAAGAATTCCATAAAGAAGAGCTTATAACATTTAAGAAAAATAGTATACTATATACGTTTACTGATAGAATAATTTCACCATGACCTGATAGCTATATGTATGTTAATGTACCTGTAAGTATTCATCTGCACATTGTATCCAAACCTTTCTCAAAGTTGCAAAACAGTTAATTGTTAAAAAACGCATAATGTTTTAATAGTTGAGTAGATTATTGTGTGATGTAAAACAAAGTTTTTTTTTTTACCTTTTAGGTTAGAAAGTGGAATATGTCATGTTCACCAAAATTGTCAAAATGTTTGACATCGTTGCACATTTAGTGTGCTTGTAGAATTTAACATATTGAAAGTCCTGTTCTGAACTTTTATCCTATTTATATATTGTCATAGATCATTTCATTTAACTCTCAGTACAGGCTCAGTCAATTTGACTGACCATGTGACCTTTTTGTACTTGTTCAGAGTCTTTATAGATTTGTTACTAATACTTTTTAATATAGGGTGTATATCTTCACAAAATTTGGCAGTCTTTCATCAAACATTATAAGACTTTCACATATAAAAAAAAAATCATATTTTTTAGTAAAGTATTTTTAATCAACTAAAAATAATTTGTCCATGAATATATCAAGTACTTGTTTTGAATAGTCTGTGTGCAAAGTGATTATAATGTTAAGATTAAAAATACGTTTCTACACATCAAAAATTTCAAATTTCATTTGTGTAATCCCCAAAACCTCCTAAATACATTTCAAATGTTTTTTCCAGTAAAACTTTATATCTCATTTGTTATTTTCTCCACCCTAAATCAAAACGAGATCGGTCAATTTTACTGACCTCATAAACACCAAAAAAATGTAAATAAATCTAAATTACTCTTTTTTAATTTCTAGAATCATATCAAATTGTAACATGAAACTACATTAGTTTATCCTAAGTAGCTTTAAACTAGTAACAGTATACATCTAGTTATAATTCAGTTTTATTGCCATTTGAACCGTGTTT